TTTAATTATGGGATACTAACACACTCATTTAACAATATTTCATTGGATAAATTCTATTTACTAAATAATTTTTTTTTATTTTCTTTATTATCATACAAACTAACGTCAATTCCAAAAACATAGAGTATTGCAACTGTGCAAAAGTCAAAAGGTTTCGCCATAAGTCGAAACTGGTTTTGACTTTTGACATATAACTTTTAGTTTTAGCTTTGACTTTCATCTCTTTGGTGACCGGCACTAATACAAACATAAAACAATTTTCAAAATATACTTGACGACTGTTTTAACAATTATTCAATAGAAAAGGTAGAAGTTGTATGATGGCAGGTTTGTGGGAAGCAACTGTTAAAAAACAAGGTGCACGATCTATGAAGCTTCCAAGTTTTGTATATAATATTTTCCTTTCTTTTTTATTTACGATCAACATCCATGAATCTATAACGCACATAATAAACGATATTATATTCTCCTGCTATAGCAGTAATAAGGATCCCATTTCAAAATCATCATTTATAATATAATAATAATTTATAAGTAAAAGAAAATAGAAGAAAATAGTTGTCAAGTATGTCGAATTAATAAGTCAAGAAAACGGAGAAGGTTGTCAGAAGTTGCATTAAAAAAATATAATAATGAAAAGGTAAAACCTAAATACAAGTTTTTTTGTTCTTTACCATATATTTAATTGCGAAGTTTTGATCATCATTTACTTTTGACTTGAAGATTTAATGAATCAGATTTTTCTTTATTATCAAGAAGTTTATCAACACGCTTTTTGTATTCACCGATACCATCACCAGCATCATCTAAATTAGACGGTGTAAACTTTTCTATATCAATATAATCATCATCTTCAGACTATGCATGTTTTTTGAAGCTGACATATTTGGAAATGGTATGCTTTAAGCTTTGCAAGTGATTTCTTTGTTTCTTTAATCTGGTTTTTGAATGTTTTATGCAATACATTATAACTTCATTACAACGAAGTGGTTATAAGAAAATTTCATTTAAGATTCGTTGAAACTAGAGCAGATTCATTGAAACAAGTATGCATGTTGATTGATAATCGGGATAATTCATAGTAATAGGATTTATTATGAATTTCTTCTAAAACCGGTTTTACTTTTTTTAGATTTTTTGGCTTCTACCAAGACATCCCCAAATATATTAATCATAATAATAATAATAACAAAAAAATTTATACTGTTTCGTAGCTAAAGTTCTAAAGATTTGCAGGTAAAATTTTCTGGTCCAGAACTTTATCATCAATTAAAATAAAATAAATTTTATAAAAACAAATTTTAACATGATAATTGCTCTAAAGCCTGCATAATAATATGTTTGTATGTGATGATTTAAAAATTTCTTGATAATTTTTATTACTTTTTAGTTGGAAAAAAATCACCATTGTTTGTTAATAAAAATTCTTTGTTTTCCTTTATCTTAATAATAATATTATCGCTATGCGAAATTATTATAAAAACCGTGCGTTAATGTATATTAATTTTTATTAACTTATATATTATTATTATCCTCACATTTAGATGTTTCATAACATATTTTTCTCAAAAATTTTTTGCATTGTTATTGAGAAAGATTGAGATTCCTCCCAATCGGTACGAATGTAGAAATCATCCTCGTTAATCTCCCGTAGAAAAATAAACATGGTTATAATTACCAAAGCTGAAAGCAATGTTAAAACTCAAAATCTTGGCTCTTGGTGTTATTGTCAGCTATCCAGCTATTGTAAAACTTGAGCATTTAATAAAATTGATGTATTGAGACAACGTTCTGGTCAAAAATCATCCTAATCGTCATTCATGAATCAAAATTGGCGATGATTTTTCTAAAAAGGATTATTACATTTATCAATTCATTTTATTTCTTGGCTGACTATAAAGAAAAATATATAAGTCCATCCTTCTATGAAATGTCATTGCATATAATTCATGATCATCCATATATCCAAGAGATACTTTATGTGATTTGAGTAATCATTGTTTTTTTCTAATTGGCTCCAAAATAATCTCGCCTTGTGAACATTATAAACATTATAAACATTATAAAAACATCACCAATTCACCTATTCTCGGGAAACAGCTACAAATCCTTCAATAATTATTGTTAACTCAATTTTATCTTTGTTTAAATAATTGATAATTATTTGTTCTAATTAATAAAAAAATGCTTGCCTTCAACAGGGGGCTTTGTTACGTGTTGTTTATTGGACCCTTTTTTTGATTTCTTGCTTCACAAAAATCAACTCTATATTATAAAGTTGATGAAATAATCAATAAAATAGAGCCAAGAAAATTAAAATCAAAAATAGATAAAAAATACCCCCAAATTGAAAAAATCTTAATCATCATCTATTTGATAAAAGAGCGAACTGGATCCTGATTTTTCTTTTAACAAAATGGCTCTTGAAGTTTATGAATTGCTTGGACAGAGAGAAGCATTGCAGCCTTCTATCAACTCCTAAGAGAAAACATTAGAAGCAAACCCAACAGTGGGTTGATAAAGAGAAAATGACAAAGATAATGAAAGCAAAGAGGATACAAATATCAATAATAATATTATCAATAATAATAATAGTAAAAAGAATAGCAGTAGTAATAATGAAAGTTAGATCTTTGTCGGAGTGCCCAAATACTCACAATGGTTTTGGGTCTGACAATTTTAATTTTTCATATAAATTCCAAGTCATGTGCCAATGATTATAACTTGTTTATTATTGGTCCAAATTATACTTTTAAGAATGACAACCATTTTAAAAAAAAAAAGAAAATGAGTACAATGAAACAAAGAACTTGAATAGATTGGAAGAGAGATTTGGAGAATTGAAAAGGGGAACAAAAGGAGAGTATATCAACGAAAAAGAAGATCTAGGGGTAGAAGGATTGGATGGAACAAATGTGCAAATTCTTAAATTGCAGAATAAATTGCTTTCATTAAGTGAAAAAAAGGTAATAAACAAATTGTGTAAAAAAAATATACAAAAAATCATTTTCTCTTGTCCCATTTCATTTATTTATTATTTATCCATTTACAACTCTAATTAACTCTTACTTTCTTTGGTTTTTTTCATATATTCATCTATCTATGGATGACTTAACCATCAGAAAAAGGTATACATATTTGTTTCATTTCCAATTTGGTTTAAGCTAATATTTGTGAGTTTAGGTTTAATGCAAGTTTTTGCCATTAGATTACAATGTTTAGTTTATCCAATGACTTCAACTTTTTTTTGTTTTGATTTGGATCTAAAAGAACCAATTCTTATTCCCAATTTCATTTTCAATTACCTGCCTTGTGATCGGTCCAACACCTTACCAAATTCAAACATTATCTGTTTCTCTAGTTTTCACTGTCATTTGTCTACCTGTGAAGATGCTAGTATCATCATGAGAAACATCAAGGATAGAACCTCAGAAGATAGACTCCATTTTCAAGATGGTAGCATTCTTCATGTCATTTCCGGAAACTGCAATACCATCACTTAAATATCATTAGTTATGATTGTTCTTCTAATAGTACACTCAAACGTGAGCAGGTCGATACCTGTGTTGGTGATATTCCAATTGTCCTTATGGAAGAGAAGCAGCTGGATGCAGAGGTGGCAAAGGCTAAGCTTGATATATACAGAAAATTCCATTGGCCACCACATTACAAGGATTTATCATTTGTGATTGCTATTGCATTTAGTGGAAATATTGTGATCTTCAATAAATTAACTTGTGGAAAAATATATGTTGATGAATTGCATTTGAATCTTTCATTTGTTAAAGACAGAGTCAGGTATTGCATCTGTTTCTTTACAAATAAAGATTTTGCATACTTTATGATTAAAAAATTCAATGATAGATGCATCCAAGCTTGCTTTAAATATTGGTCATTACTGCAAATGCACATTTAAACAAGTTGTACCAGAACCATTATATCCATCTAACAAAAATAATCAGATGTGAAATTGAACCATCAAGACATTGGGGTTCCCATATCACAATCAATTATTCTTCAGTATTAAAGGTTTTCTTTTCAATCAATGATCAGGAAATCCAAAGGTCAGTCAATCTTATATGATGTGTGTTTTTGCATTCATGTGATGGAAGGCCTACTGGTTATTTTGTTAATTAATTGAAGAATACAAAACTTTTATGTGAACAATAATATCCCTTTTCTTGAGACAGCAATAAGAAACGAGATCAAGAAAAAGGTGTTCCATCTTGAGCTCACACTGGTTGGTCTTCCATGTTCACCTAGTGATCTTAATACTCTTCAAGTTGCCATATATTGCTTTGTTCATGCCCTTTTGAAGGTCCATCAAAATGGTTGGTCTGTCATTGATCTCAGATGTCCTAACACCATAGAATTCAATGGTTGCTATTATATTATTGATGCTAGTGAATATGCTATACAACATGAACACAAATTCACAGTGAGCTATTAAATAAATTTGATAAAAAATCAGTGGTGAGTTATCCAGCTAGTGATATCTATATGTTGAAAGAGATGATGAAGGATGTAGAAGAAATTGGGAGGTATAATTCATATGCATTTAGTTTTGTGAAAGAATTGGATAAATTTTACTAAAACAATAGTCTTGAGTTAGTATTAAATCATGGATTTCTTACTGCACCACTGATGATGGAATAGATGTAATTTAACATAGAAAGAAATAATAATAATATTGAGATTTTTACTTTTAATTTGGGTTGTATTATGTAATTTTTCATATCTCCCACTTGTGAACCAAAAAAAAATCATATCTGAATTCAAGGGTTGAAGTTTTATTTATAATTTTGTTTTGAAGATTGTAATTGTTCAAAAATAAAACACCTTTATTTTTATTACAAAAATTACCATTTAATCATTTCAAATTTCTTTAATATTAAAAAAAAAGGTCTTTGAGCTAAAAAGAAAGAGAACAAGACAAGAGTAAGTATTGTTTTTATTAAGAATGGTGGTTGTGCGCATTTTCATCATTCTAGTTTATTATTAAAAATAGATAGATTAATGAAAATATATCTAACGATTGTATCATTGAAATTGTTGACTGACCTGGATATTATTACCAAAGTCAGAGCCAGAATTAATACTAATTACTAGATTTACTTAGGAGTTATTAAACAATTATTAAAGGCGTGAAAAAAATTCTAATTTTGGAATAGAACATTTTTTGTCCAATATAAATATTTTGAAAATCTTGACAACTATTTATTAGTCTTGAAAATCTTATTTATTTTGTCAAACGCGCTAACCTACAGTTTTTCAAAAAAGGAAATCTTCTAAGTCCGTTTTATAAACTATGCAATATGCAATTTGCAATTTGCAATTTTATTATTTACAGATTGCAATTTTTCAATTTTGCAAACTGCAGATTGCATATTGCATATTGCAAAGGTTTGTTTCTGAACCTTTGGTAAACTGAATTTTTGGGGAAGAATGAGAGCAAAATTGAAATACAAAACATTGTGGTGAACAAATTTTGACATCAAAACTTTCTCTTTTTTGAAAAATGTAAATAACAATAATGATACATTCGTTTATAAATTTTAATCATGTTCGTTGATTGTTGTTGGCAATTAAAAAACCATTGATTTTGTTCTTTTCTGCTTATTAATGATTAATAAAATAATTTTTTTCCCTAGATTGTTGTTAATATAATAAAAAAAATAGTGCGGGTTGTAATTTCTTTTCTGCGATTCTGAAAATTATTTTGATCGTGCCACATATTTACGAAAACGGGTTTACGTCGTGTGACTGTACAAAAGGCACGTCAATGTTTAAATATTTATTATCAAAAAATAAATTATTTTTAGAAAATATTGGAAGAAAAATTAAATTATTTTTAGAAAATATCTGAAGAAATTTTTTTTTTAAAAACAGTCGAAACCTCCTTGGAAATTTCAATTAGCACTATTGTTATGAGAACAATGACTTTACATCTTGCAAATATCAAGAAAGAACTTCCAGTCTTCTTTTTTTAGATAAAATGAAATTTCTACTATGCTAAATAATGTGTAGTGAGGAAGAAAAAAAAACCCCAATCAATCTAAGATTTGAGAAAGCCTCTTATCTCCTATTTACACAGAACCAATCATCTTAAAAAATCCTGAATCC